AAAAAAAAAAAAAAAGAGTAACTAGAAAATGTAATTCACAATCTGTGCCATCTTGTAAGACCGAACCGTTGCTAAACTTAAGTGGACTTACTTATCACCTATCTATATCTATATATCATTTATTTATTTATTTAAGGCTCTATTAAAGGTTTTCAAAAATATAATAGTTCACTGTCTCAATACAGAGTATGAATCTAATGAATCTATCTTATTCATTACATAATCTGTCAGAAGCCATCCATTCCTTTACACATAAATACTGTATTTATTATGTGTCTGGCACTGTGCTGGTGTAGGACAGTAAGCATGATAATGCAGACAGGGTACAGCCTGCTATTTCTAAGTACTAACTACAGAAACACTTTTAATGCAACAAGGAGGGGAAAGCACAGCTAAGTCATCTTTATAATGAACACATTTTTTAAAAATACAAACTGCTCCTGAAGTAAAATGTAACAGGTCATTGAGTTTCATGCCTCAGTAATTTAACAATTTTCCTATTCATAATATTAATTTGTTCAGCAGTGCTCTGTAACCTAAGATATAATGTATAATTTTTTTTGCTTGTGTCTGAATTCTTGTGTTACCAAACATATAATGAGCTGACTATAATTTTGAACCTTAACCATGCAAGTAATATTTTACAACCACTGTTACCTAAAAGGAAATTTAAGTCTAATAATATCTAATGTTAGGTAAAAATATGAAGCATATTCTTAAACACTGTTGGAAAGAGTAAAAATTAGCAGCCTCATTGTCTTTCCAGAAAGAAAAAACAAAAGAGTTAAATTATATAAAGTAGTTCCACAGACATATATATTAACTACTGAGAAAATTAAGCTGTTCTTTCAGGGGTGCTTTAAACTTCTAATCAGGCAGCAACAATTTTACTTCCTTTATTTACTATAAGATAAAGATCTAGAATTTCTAACAAATTGGTTTAAACTTAACACAACACCTTTAAATTTAACAGCTTGTGCTAACACTAGCTGCTTTATGAAATCCAGTAAGTCTAACACAGAATCAATTCAGATAGGTTATTAAAATGCAAACAAAATATAAATATGCATACATTTGTTATTTAGAGGAAAATAATAATTTGAAATTTGGTTTTATTACTAAATCTTCAATCAGAGAATATGGTTTTTTAAAAAATAACCTCTATAATATTACCTCACGAAGAGAAGTGGTTTCCCGAATAAAAAACATGTTAATTATCCCAAGATATTTAGTTATTTTTGCTCCCGGAATGAAAGAAAGAGGTGTCATCTTAACAACTCCAACTGTGGAATTTGCACAAGGTGGAGCAGAACGATTCCGGAAATTTCCTTCAGCCACTGGACTTGCTTTTTCAACTGTCACAGCTAAAATTGAAGAAAGAAGAGAATATTAAGAACAGACACTGGAAAAGAGATTATTCCTAAGGTTTCCAAATAAGTGGTGACAACATTCAGCTTTCTGTGAGGCTAAGCCATGTCATGAAAGAAAAGAAATTATCATGCACTGCATGCAATTAAAAAGGAGAAGGAAAGAAAAACGTATGAGGAAATGCTGGAATGGAAGTCTTTGGAAGAAAAATGGCATTCCTGCAAAAGAAAATGTTGATGCAGTGTAGCTAACACATACAATGATTGGTTACAAAGTGAAGAAAAGGAAAAAGCGGCAGAGCATTAAAATTATCTGCTGTAGGAACAAATTCTTACACAGAGAGTGTGAAAGTTGTTCTATTTCCCAGTACAGTTCTTTCCATCTTTTTCACACAAATTTATCATTGTCAACTTGTAGATAAACCTTGTTAACTAGTTGTAAACTACTTCCTTTCTGAACCCTGTTGATTAGACAAACTCATAATTTTACAAATGACCTTGGCTATCTAAAAGTTGTTCATAAATTAAGGAATAAAATAGCTATCACTTAATAACTGCTATAAGCCAGACATGTCATATGTATATATATTCCTCACAACAACCCAGCAACATAGTTTATCACTGTCCCATTTTACACATGAGGAAATTGAAGCTCAGAGATATTTAAAGCTCTCTCAAGGTCACACAGCTATTAAACTGAAACTTCTAGATTTCAAAACTTGATCTGAATGGTTCCATATCCTATGATTCTTTCTCTAAAATGAAGTTGGTTCCTCCCTTTTAATGTCCTGTCAACTTTCACTCAAATATAGTTACTTCAAAATCTACCAAAACACAAGAGGTATAAAGAAGATAAAAGTAATCATCCTGAGTCTACCAGATAAATGAGTTAACTACTTTCTCTCCAGAAGTACTTTATTCTTTCAGCCCTCTGGCTGTCACAGTAAGTTAGCAGATGCCATTTACTAAATAGTACGCTGGGTCCTAGCTGAGTGTCTCTTCGGTAAGAGAGCAGGTGACTTAAGGAAATATTGTATCTACTTGTGTAGAGTTTTAAAACACAGTTCTACGGTTAAGAGTAACAAATCTGAATGCCCTTATCAAGTAACCCTTCTAATGATCATTCGCCTGCAGCTTTCACACTCCAATACATGATTGAGCAGCAATGTTACTACTAGGAAGCAAGGTCTAGCCTTCACCACTGGGAAATCAGGGGTACGCTTCTCAGATCATCAGAATGTGGTAGAAACAGCCGCCTACTTGTCTTAATTGATCCACGCCTTATGGTCTGAGCTTTCAGTTTAATGAGCTCTATCCAGCTGCTGCATCTGTCTGCAAAGGAACTGTAATCAACTGACGTTGCTGAAAACACAGACAGAAAACAAAACGACAACAAAAAAGAAAAACAAAGAAAAAATATGGATGATGTCTCTTACTCGTCACAATACTCCTTCCGATGATGTAATTTAACTGAGACTTAGAAAAGAACGGCCCTTTTCAAGTCAGAGGAGAGCGGTGGTAAAGAGTCAAGCTTTAGACACTGATTTGTCCACAACCAAGTTCAGTTACCAGCTGAGCGTTTTTTGGTGATGTCATTGTATGGTCTCTCGGGGAGAAGGATCAGTGGCAGCTAACGTAAATGTCAGTGAAAGGACCACATACTGTGCTTTAATTTCAGTCCCATCCTTTCTAATTTACAGTAATTCTGTTGTTTATATTTTAGGATCTGAATTTACAACCCAAGCATTGTGATTCATCCCCTTCCCTATTTTTACACTAAGATAAAAAATAAGCAGAATGAGAAACTCAAAAGAACTCTTGAAAAAAACTGACTAGTTGATTTATCTGTTATTAATCTATCTTCTATCATCAGTCCAAAAGCCAAAGGGTCATTTCTGTCAGTATTCTGTGCCTGATTTTTGGCAACAAATCCTCTGATAGTACAGGGCGAGGCAGGCGTGAGCCTAACAAGTGCTTCTTTTAAAACAGTAACTTTCACACTGCTAAGCTAAAAAAAAGGAAATAAAAAATAAAGACAATGTTAAGTAGCTAAAATTTTATTTTTAGAAACTGGGAAACTATTAAAATGCTAAAACATTTAAATATGTAATGAATTTCAAAAAACACATTCTAACTATAATAAAGCCACATTTTGGCATTTATTCCATCGCCTAGTGCATTTCTTCCATGTCTGTAATTTTATGCACCACCAAACTAGAACTTCACATCTTTGGTGACCATTTGCTTAATTAGACAAACTCACCTCTCTGTGCAGCTGGTATACCTGAGTTAGAACTGGCACTCTCCAGGTGTTCTAATAAGACAATATGAACAATATTAGCTTGGATGCTAAGTACAAGCCAGTATCTCTTCTTTGTTAATATCTTCTATAAGCCAGGAGAATAGGAGTAAATTTTTATGGCTTCATATAAAAGCAAACCAAATAGAAGTATTTAGGCTTAAAATGCAGTTTCTACTGATAAATGAAAACTAGCTCAGTTAACAAATACCATGCCAACGATGACTGCTTGCTTACTACAATACAAAATGAGTTTCAGAAACTTCATAGTCATAAGAAAATACAAATACATAGTAACAAAGGTTAGAACAACAGCAGACTGTAAGAGACAGAGAAAAGGGTCAATGTGTTGGGACAGATAACTGAAATTAAACAGGGAAGGGGGGAGGAGCCAGTAAGACTACAGATTTTAAACAAGTTAATGATCTATGCTTCACAGAAAGTAAACTACTTCCCAGCCCTAACCCTCCTTCTCACCACTGACATCTTCCTGTAACTTATCTATCGACAGCTCCCTCTGGTGGTGGCAAGACATTGTAGACTTAACAGGTGACTGATCGTCCTGACCCAGAGTCACTCCCTTTCCAGAAACCTCAGGAAACTAACATCCAAAGTTTTCCCTGATATTTTATGGTTTTTATAGATATTTCAGGTACTGTGTAAATTTAACAACATTAAGAAAAAGTTACAATGTATTCTTAATGTTCCTGCTCTATTTACACTAGCATATTTGAATTTTTGTTTCAAAGAATTTTACGAAGGGAAGAATAGTGTTGCCAATTTAGAAAAAAACTGAAAAACACAGAATAATTTGGCCTACCCGGGGTTTTTTAATCAATTTATTTATTTACAAATTATAAATCTAGGAAATGTATTTTTCATCTCTAAATATGTTGTTTTAGAAATATTTTTAATCAATAAAAGTTAAACTGTTTAAAAATAAGAGTTGTATAGACTGTTTCTCCTACTTGGTAGAAGCTCCTCCTCATCCCCACCTCTTTTATAAAGCATGTAAGCACTAGTTACTAGTGGAGTGAGGACAGCGGTTGGCAGTCCTCTGAAGGTACCAGACTGCAGATCTAGTTGGACAGTCTTCCTGATTCAGGATCCTGAGGAGCTCTGGAAGTCCAGGAGATGGAGCCGTAGGAAGAAGTCCAGAACATATCTGACAGTCAGAGGCTTACCAGATCTCCAGAGTAGCTCAGGATAGGAACAGCTTTGGGGCAGAGACTGGGACAGTGCTGGGCTTGCCTCATTCAGGCTTTGGATATGTATCTAGGAGAACTCCAGGGCTCTCTGGTTACTGCTGTGGACAGTACACACTCGGTGGGTGTAGAAGTACAGAAAGCATAGCTGGGATGAGGAATTCTATGAAATTTTTTAATGCAGTCGAGGGGGATGGCCAAAATCATTCTGAAAATCACTAAAATGAAATTCTATAACTCATTATTATCTGGTAAGACTGAATTCCATTTAGCAACTGTGTATGATTTAATGACAAAGGTACACTGAAAGCACTTAAACATGTACGTTTGTTCCCATGTCTAAGTCAAATCACATGTGAAAACAAGGTACATATCAATTTGAAAAGTATTTATGTTCTAAAAAAGGATGAGAAGAATATATTTGCAGACATTAAACTATTAAGAGTAGTTTTCTTTTGGGAGAAATGAAGGGAGAAAGGGAGCTTTATTTTGGCCTATCTGATTTTTACATTATTTGAATTTTTCACTATATATAATTATTATTCCCCCTCCCCAAATTTAAAGAGTGGGGAAGAAGGGGGGGTTAATACCTGACTGTAAATGAGGGAGACTTTTTAACCTCACTTAAGGAAAACAGGGTTATCACTGAGCACACTTGCTACGATTTTAGCTTTTCTCTTACAGAAAAAGCCCCAGATCCTTTCCTCGCCTGAACACTGGCATCTCAGACTAATTTTAAACATCTTAAATCTCGAATGCCTCAGACTCTCAGTCCCTCTGCTCTCTTAGTTTGGCTTTCAAAGTAATAGGCTTTTCAGAGAAGGTACCGCAGATAAAGCAGTCTGGCTCATTGGCAAATTGGGGGTTGTGGTTAGAAAGAACATGCAATCACTAGGCTGATAATAAAGGACAACAGATTTCATTATTTAAGGGTACTTAAGGGTAGAAATCGCATTAAAAGTCATTGTGGTTTTGTTGAGGACTCAGTGCTAGGTTCTGTGCCACCACACATCTATGTGGAAGAGTTTGAAACACTTATGTTAGAGCCACCCTCCATCCTTAAAGAGAGCCTCAGTCAAGCCACACAGCAGACTACTCTAAAATTTCCTTTCCCATTTAATGTAAGAAAAAGCTTATTTTGCTTTTTTTTTTTTTTTAAAAGAAAGCCATCATTAAGTGACAGCCCTATCATTCCCAAGAAAATAGCCCTAAAAACTTAGCAAAGCAAGAAGGACCACAGCTCCATTATTCTCGTACTGCTACTCTGGCAATATTTAGCAAGCCCCATGTCCGGAAGTGTGAGGAGAGAAACTAATTCAGATTAAAAGCAGCTGAGTGGAAATCAGCATATTGATGACAAATGGAAAAAATGTGGCAAGGATTCTTCCTCCCTCAATTGCATATTTTCCAAAACTTCTGAAGCTTGAGACTCCTCCATTCTTCTAAATAGTTTGTCATTACCAGTGAAAAAGGCATTGCTTAGCTGAATACCATTGTGATGGCTTGAATATTTATTTCTTCTAAAACATATGTTGAAATCTAACTGCTACTGTAACAGAATTAAAAAGTGGGGCCTTTAAGAGGTAAGTTGGCCATGAGGGCTCCACAGCAGGACCCTATCACAAAATTTTAAAAATTATTTTTAACAATTGGGGGATGTTTAGTCCTCAGTACTGAAAAAAGAAAAAAAAAAAAAAAGGTGAGAGGGGGCAAGTTTGGTCCCCTCTCGTTCTCTATTTTTACCATTCCTCCATGTTATGTTGCAGTAAGGCCTTTGACCGGAAGCCAGCACCTTGATATTGGATTTCTCAGCCTCCAGAACCACAAGCCAATAAACTCTGTTCTTTATATATTGGAATAAGAATTGCTTCTCGGCCTTTTGGCTAAGATCAAGTATACTGGCCTAAGAGAGCTGTAATAAAGTTCTATACTGATCATTAATTCTTTTGACTTTCTATTTCTTTATTCTTTCTATTTCTATTCACTTTGTATCAACAGAATTTACAGATCGTCTTTGCTCTGAATAATTAAAAAAACTTGAGACAATCTTATCTGGGAGTCTTTTTAAAAATTATTAAAACTGAAAAAATTCCTCCAAATAAAGATTCTCTGGCAGATTAAAATATTCAAAGGCTGGTGTCTAAATTTTTGCTCTACTTTCCCACTTAAACATTTTCAGTTTTAAGTTAATGCGATCAAAATAGGGTTTTATGTTACATTAGGCATTTCCATCAATCTACAACATATTGGCTGGCTGCCATATAACTATAAAATCTGGCTTAATGACTGTATTCAACAAATGATGTATCTGATCATTCAGTGTAAACCTATCCATAATGGTAATCAAATACTGATGGATTGATAATAAAACTGCCATATTATAAATTATTAAGGTACAGAGGAAGAAGGAAATAGCTTCAATTTGGATAGTTCACCAAGAAATAACTCAACAGCAACATGTAAGGAATACACACATTAAATGACCATGACAACTTTTCTACTCAGGTCATTTAAGTTTCCAACTAAAAGTATACAACATTCTCAGACACTTGTCTTTTCATCTTTAATCCCTACTCACATGTTCCTGCTTCCATTTCTAGGCATCCACTCTTCCTCTTAATACTATTCTTTATGGCTTTCTCCTAAATAATCTGAGTCATTACTTTTTATTCCCTGTGCCTCTGCCCCTGTATTTTACTGACATCAAGCTGCCTTGAAGAAAACAGAATAATAAAGATTCTTTATTTCTACTTTTTCATCAATTCCCATTTCTTCCTTCCTTCTCATTTCTTAGCTGAATTTTTGCATCATTTTCCTCTCTTTAGTTTCTATTTTCTTCACTCTCTGTCCCCTTCAGCATCTCTCTCCTTTAAGGCCTGCCACTAATTTTTCTGGCCATCTAATAACATGGAAAACGTAAGTATTTTTTATTGTCACTACCATTTGGTCACAATGACAAAATACACAATACTTTTAAAAAAGAGACAAAGCAGACATGAAATAGAATGTTAATATAGAAAGATATTTTTATTTAGCTGTGATAATAATGAATTATATATAGTTAAGAATTCAGAACCATTAGCAGGAAAAAAGCTAGCTTTTATAGTTATTGTGGGTTTATATTTTTAATTAGTAGTTTAAAATAATGTTAGGAAAGTCAATAAATTGAAATAGCCATAAGCTATCTTTTAAAACCAAATTTGGTTTAACAAAAAGAAGAGGTAACTCTTACAGTGTACTATATATAAAAAAACTTCCAATGTGGACACCTAATTATGGAATACAATATATTCTAAGTGTAAGCCAACTTGTTTTCTTTTATACTGAAAGCCAGATTTTAACCTATGCTTGCTACATTACTCCGCAGTGGTTATTAAGCATACTTCTGCCACCCTACAGTGTGCCACTGAACATGAAGAAATCATCCAGCATAAAGCAAAATGAAAGCACAAAACCAGGTGAGTATAAAAAAAATTCTCTTCCATAATTTTATTCAAAAAAATTTTCCCAGTTAAAACTTTTAAAGTGTTAAATTATCAGTATTTTAATGAAACTATTATTCTGCCTATAGTACAAAGTACTTGATAAGCTTTTATTTTGAAATTTTATTTATGGTGCTAGGAATTGAATCCAGGCCCTCAACTACAATCTATAGAAATATCTAGGTTTTTACTTTTTTTTACCTAGCCTCTCCATTCTTCGTATGTTTACTGTCTCTTTCTTCTACATGTGTCATTTTTAAAGTATCTTGAAAATCATTTCAGAGAAAAAACAGATGTGGATATTAATGAAGAAAATGTCATGAAACTGGTATAAAAAATTTGGTAGCGACATGGTTTTTCTCCTGACACAGACCAGGTAAACATAAATGACTTATGTTGATACTACATCAGGTATGTTCCTCTTTTTTTTTTTTTTTTTTTTGGTGCCGGGGATCAAACTCAGATCCTTCTGCTTGCGCAGCAGGTGGCAAAACCACTGAGCTAAATCCCCGGCCCAGGTATGTTCCTCTTAATATTTATATTTATCAAGGAATTTTGATGATCTCACATGATAACGTCCTTTAAGAAATTAGTAAAGCTCAGCACCTTTTAACATTTCAAATTAATTAAGATAACGAGGCAAGGTAACACCAAATCAACCATAAATTTGAGATATACTATTTTGTTACTTGAAAAACAAAACCAAATATAACAAATGATGTGAGGAAAAAAATTGAACATGGATGGACAATTCAGGCCCACGCTAACTCTACACAGTGAACTAGGATACATGAAATTTTTTTTTTTGGTACCGGGGATCGCACTCAGGACCTCGTGCTTGCAAGGCAGGCAGTGGAACCACTGAGCTAAATCCCCGGCCCTAGGATACATGAAATTTGAGTGTTATTTCTTTCTCAAGACATTCACTTATTTTCAATAACATAAGACGATAATAAAAGGTTTATCTACAAGTGAAAAGATGGAAGCATTAATAAACATACTATGTTTAGCTCTTGAAACTACTCTCCCTGTCAAAAACAAAAGGAAATAAATTTTATAAATCATCCTATTTGTGATAAGAAGATCAAATGTAAACTAGAATTCAGTTACTAGATTTTTTTAAAAAACAAAAAACCATCAGCTTAGCTAGCCTATGAACAAAACTATAAAAACTAGACATTTATTTACCAACATCAGTAATTGACTTTTAAGCCTTCTGTAGTTGCATACAAGAAAAGAGATAAGACTTTTGAGCATTACTCTTCAACTTTTTTGCCTCTCTCCTGTTTCCTCTAAATTGCTAAGCTTACATTTTTAGACATTTCTGTTCTCCATTTAACACTTTCCATCCCGTAACAGCACATAATGACTCCATTCATGTTACAAGGCACTAATACTACATATTTCAGACCTCTGCAAAACCCATTTTACCCCCAAATTTCCCGAAACACTTTGAAGTAACTTTTAAAGATGTATTTAGCCCATGTCCTCCTGAAAAGATCTGAGGAAGCAAAGACAATAAATAAGCATGCAACATGAACCACAATTTATAAAACTACTTATGAAAAGGTATGCATACACTTTTAAGTGTTTACTGATGGTTTTAAAATGTTAAGATTCAAGAAAAAGCACATAGATTTTGCAGCTTAGTATTCAGGGTAAAAAGTTGTACATATATATTAGTATAGAATGTGATGATACTGATAAATTATGATGACAATGATAAAGGTGGCATGATCTGATCAAGCAGTTTTTAAACTTCTTAAATCCTTTCTTCAAATAATATAGGATACCAATGTCTAAAAGCCATTGAGGCAAAGCTGTTCTGAGTCAGAGGTAAAGTATCCACAGACCCATCTTATACCTCTTCTTCTCCCTTCCACCTGAAGCATCTCTGAAAACTGTCTACGGTTTAGGGGAACAGAGTTTAGAACTTACTGGTTTCATCAGTTAGAAGCTTCTTGAAAACATTTAACAATTACAGAAGCTATGGAAGACCCCAGGCAGTAATTTAGTTTTTTTTAATAATGCGACCCTTTAATTGAAGAACTGTGAAACACAGAAACCCAGTGAATCACAGAACTTTAAAGACTAGAGAAGTTTTAACTCTTTCACATTTTATACATGAGAACCCTAAGTTCCCATGCTTCACTGACAGCATAACTCAAAAGAGAGATCTGTTGTTTCACTCCACCTCATAGCCCTAGCATGCTGCCTAAAATCAGTTGCAGATATTTTACATACTGTTCAAATACTCTGTACTCAAATGTTTACCTTGTTCTTTAGTTCAGGGTATCATTTTGCACTAACGACCATATAAGTGTTAGTTACAATTACCTTTGAAAACATTCTGAAAGCAATCAATATAGATAAAGCAAACTCATAGAGCTTAAATCTAACTTGTGCAGAATTTAACAAGTTTTAACAACATGCTAAAGTGCCCTAATACACACCTCAGTTCCACCAATAGCTAGCCCTAGAGATTAGCAATTGTTCAATACTTTTTGTTGATTAGGTCTTAGGGGGTTTCTGCCCCCATTTCAAAGTAAGGAGAATGAAATGAGACCTCAAACTGATTTGTACCCAACTCTGTGTATGCATAAGTTTCTATATAAAGTGTTTAAAAAACAATACTTGCTATTCAGTGGGTACAAGGATTCTTGACAGTAATGCTTTTTGCCTGGAGCGTATATTTAATTCAGAAATCTGAACTCAGATTGCCTCTGATTTTGATTTTTCCTCTCTGTTCTTTCAAGGAAGTTGAGGAATGCTAAAATTCTCTATGGAGTTCTAAATTAGAATTTTATGTGACGAAGAAAAGGCAAGATGACCAAAGTTCCTAGATGAGAAAGTTCAAAATCTGAAAATAGTTTTTCTTTTAATTTTCAAAGCGAGACAATATCCACTTAGCTGCATGTGTAGGCCTTGTACTGATTTAGTAAAGATTCTACTGACATATATCCAGAGTGAATATAAAACTATTCTGTTTTATATATAATTTGATATCAGATAAAATAATTAACAGGCAGGAATTATAAAATAATTTCACTAGTATTATAAAATATAAAAATTAGAATAGTTGAATGATTTTAAGTAACAAATGCATCATTTCTGAGAAATATTTAGAAAAAACACAAATATTTATTAAATATGTAACAAAATTAGGTACACTAGTTTTGAAGTCATATAAAATCAGAAAGTAAATAGAAAAGGATACCTCCCACATTTCTCCAAAGACTGTACAGATGAAAATAAACATTTCTATTAAATTAAGGGGTGATTATTTTGCATTTAAAAAAATGGCAGCTGCCTTATAAATACATAACAATGTTCTTTAATTATAGTTAAAGCACACAACAGACAGGGAGAGCATCTCTGTTTCACTCAATTTCCCCTACGCAAAACCTTTCCATGTATTTTCTGAAGAAGACAAGCATTCTGGTATCCATGAAAACTCCAAAATTTTTGCAAGGTTCAAATACTGTTGGAAAAATTTACTAAATATTCTATGTGTTAACAGTTATGCTGGGAAATCAAATTCCTTCGAGATATGAGAATGGAGTATCATATGAAAAATTACTGTAATAAATTTATGTTCAAATTACTTGAGAAATCAAGAAGAATATTACTTTCTCCCATTTATGAACACGGAGAAACGATGAAGTGATAAAGGATAAATCTTAAGATTAAGAAAGACTGCATATAACAAAAAGGCAAATGAAAGGAACCACACACGAGGATTTGTGTTTGCATCTCTCTTATGTAACCAACCTTTAGCTGGTGGAAAAGGATGGGGAGGAAGTGAATCTGAACAAAGTTCCAGTGGAAACTGTAGAAGTTCTTCATTGTCTGTAGAAGCTTGAGAGGCAAGAAAACATGTTATTTAGTAATGACCTTTTGTTAATTTTTTAAAAATTAAGAATCTGTGACAACTTATGTACTTAGTGTGGGTTTTTTTCTCTACCTCACCCCGATTTACTCTGGGTGCATTTTCCCTGGTTCCTCCCTTGGGAACCTTTCATCTGCATGATGCTGAGTGGGGTGCTACGTATACTGATAGGATGGCTATGAATTTTAAAAGATGAATACCTGTAAATCACAATTATTATCTACACTATTAGTTTATAGAATACTTAAAACAGCTATTACCTACTTTCTTTGATAAATGGCTGACACAATAAATACATCTATCTAACATGAATGCAATGTTCTTATCTTATCAATGTTACACATGTGGAATGCAATCAATTTAAAAATGTTTAAAAGCTAGGCATGAATATTTTAACTAGTAAGTCACTTAAACTTTAGAAAGTATTACATTCCTCCCGTGCCCTTTTTTTTTTTGTGGTACCAGGGATCAAACTCAGGACCTTGCGCTTGCGAGGCAGACAAGGTGCCACTGAGTAAATCCCCCACCCTCTCTGCCTTTTTATTTTTTTTTTGGTACCGGGGATCAAACTCGGGTCTTTCTGCTTGTGAGGCAGGCGGTGGAACCACTGAACTAAATTCCCGGCCCCCGATCCCTGCCTTTTTTTGTTAGAAGTTTTTAATAATTTGGGTTTCTTTGTAATATATTAAAAATACTACTTGCAAAACTTTATTAGAATAAAAACACCCCTGAGAAGTGGTTGAATACAAAGGGGAATTTTCCTGAAATAAGCAAATGTAAAGTACACAATTTTGTTTACTACACTGGTGGATTCTCAGGTATCTTGACATCCTCCCCAGAAATCTTGTACAGGAGCCCTTACCACAGAATTAATATCCTATAAGCTAAGTCTAAAAACAGCACTCCTCATATAAATACCAACCACCTAATCATGTGAAAAATATCAAGACAGCCATTTGTTTACCTACAGTTATCTCGATAAACATGAAGAAAAAAGTGATACATATCTCTTCAAAAAACAAGTTGCTTATTTATCTGCCTCTATATTTTATTAATGAACTGTAATGTAAACAAACTGTATTTCCCATCTATAAAAGTTTACCTCGTTGTAGTGATTTTTCAACATGTGTTTTTATGGTCTGTAAAGCCTGATTTTTGTCAAAAGTTATTGCAACTGCTGTGACTGTAACCTAGAATTGTAGAAACAATTGTCATTAGCACAATAATCATTCCAAAAATTAAGTTTAATACAAATTTTTTAGCACTATGGAACAACTTCTATCAACTTGCTAATTTGCCTTTCCTGGTTAAGATTGTTAACCAGAATCACACATATTTACGCAGATATTCAAAGCTATACTAAAGCTAACATATAGCTAAACCTAGATAACATAAAGCTAACCTAGATATTTCTGGAAGAGCTCAAGAGCATTCTCTAAAAGATGGAGAATGTGAAATCCCACACAATGAATATGCATCCTGTTCTATGTATGTTGGAGCAGACTTCTGAGCCCATCTTCAGATAGCCAAAGCTCAGAAAAATGAAAAACATGACCTGATACATACTAGCCATACATTTTAAAACATTTTGGGGTAAAACAGTATGTGCTTAAATTATTTAATCATGGCAAAATTATAATATTAAAACATCAGATAAAAGCTAAAAACTTTCTTTAATAACAGACTCTTAATTACCTGAATTAATTCATCTTCAGGCAGAGATACTGTGAAATTTACATGACAAAGGCAGCAGGGAATCATAGATCGTAGTTTAAAATACAGGCTCTACACAAAAGAAAATATTAGCAATGTCACTTTTTTCATTTAAATGTATAAAAGCTGATTTTCTTAATATATACCATATTGTGGCAAGCAAAAAGATTAAAAGATGAAACAATAATGGTACACTTGTTTTGTCTATTCTTACATTAAGATTACATTCTTTTTTTTTTGGTACCGGGGATCAAACTTGGGACCTTGCACTTGTGAGGCAGGCAGCAGCACCACTAAACTAAATCCCCAGCCCTAAGATTACATTCTTAATACTTAAACAGAGAAAAAAATTTAATCATACTTGTCAATAAGCCATAGAATACTATAATAGGATTTTTAAAAATTTACATATATTATTAAATTTTAAGCTTTTAACTAACTTAAACTGTTTTTCTTTTATAGTACGATCTTTTAAGAGATCATACTCACCTGATAACAAAGGTAACTTGTTAGTAACTCACTGATAACAAAGGTAAAGTTGATAGGCACATATAATAAAACACCTTAATTATGTAAGGTGTTATAGACAGTAATATAATTATCTTCTGTAATTTCATGATTGAGATGGGAGACTTTTAAATAAAATTTAATCAGAAGGTTCCTACCTTGAGCAAATTTTCACACAGATCATTAAAATTCTTATTGAGAGCTTGATTAGTCAGGTTAAGGCTGCTTAATCTGATTACTCTCACTGACGTGAACATCTAAAAGTGGAGAGAAAAAAACAACATGCCATTTTATTATTTTTAACTAAATATTGTAATACTTGATAGTACTGCCAGAAAATGAATAATAATAACTAATGTGGCATAAAAAAGAATAGCATTTTAAACTCCCATAAAGAAGTAAAAAAGAAATAGATGCTATATTTAGATAAAACTTATTAAAATAATTTATGCGGTATTTGCTTAAAATTAACAAAAGGCTTACCTGTATTTCTGAGGTCCAGTTATTTATACCAGGCATAATTTCTGTATTACAACTATAAAAGCCTGCCAAAATAATATAATTAAAATATATGAGAATATTTTATTGATTTGGGTGCTGACAACATTTTTTCCAATTATTACATGAAATTCTAACTTTCATTCCTTTCATTCTTTTAATGTAAACCTCTTACCTTCAGGAGACTTTAAATCCGTCTAATAAATTATAGGGTTTTTTTCATGTATAAAGATAAAAGGATATAAAATCATTTCCATCTAAGTTCTATGTTATGTGTTTTAAACGCCGAAGGAAAGCATATGACAGAATGTGACAGAATAATAAAGCCTTTGGGCTGGGGGTTTAGCTCAGTGGTTTCGCCGCCTGCTGCGCAAGCGGAAGGACCCAAGTTCGATCTCCGGTACCAAAAAAAAAAAAGAATAATGAAGCCTTTACAATAAGGTTAATATTATAACAATTATGATCTAAAACAGTGACATATAAAACTGGTTTCATTTCCAAGGTAAATGTTTCCTATTCACCTGAAGGAGGAGGAACATCAGTAAGTAGAGAATGGACATCTTCCATGGCATCAGTATCATCAATCTAAAAATAAAAAAAATTAAAACTATTATATATTAGTAATAAATAAATAATTACTTCAAAACTTTAAAAGTTTTTACTATTTACTAAGTAAAAACCTTAATGGGCCAGGGATTTAGCTCAGTGGTTCTGGCGCCTGCCTTGCAAGCGCAAGGTCCTAAGTTCAATCCTCGATACAAAAAAAAACCAAACAAACCTTAAGAATCAACAAAGAGCAGAGACATTTTTCACTAAATCAAAACACATTAACCTGAAAAAAATTCTAATATCAGTAAATTTCCCTGTGATAATGATTCCAAATACGTCTAAGGAAAAGTATTTTATATATAAAAGCATGTTGAATTAAAAAAAAACCAAGGCTTTTGTAAACTTTTATGAGAATGTATTTCAAAAGACTTACAAAAACACCCTAAACAACTTTTATCCCATTTTGTTTACATTAATAAAATATAATTTAAAAAATCTTTTGAACAAACACAAACTGCTTTCTAATGGAATTAAGGAGGAATAAAATATCAAGGCATATCTAAAGTCGGTCCAAATTCCATCACAACATTCCGCTGTGAATAACTGTGACAATATTCAGCTGGACCCACTGATATGTGTCTGCACATCACTGTCTGTGTCCTTACTCAAAGATCTCAAGCCTCCCTCAGGTCATTGTTAGGATTCAAGCACTTTCACTTCCACTGTGGCTTAAGCCACCCACAGTTGTGGCCATAGCTCAACCCACTGTTCCCCAAAATGCTGTGTATTGCAAGCACTTTCCACCTACAGTCTGCCACTGTGTCTGCTCTTACTGAATCTGGCCCCTGCACTCAGTCCTCTGCCCACATTTGAAGCATTTTTGGTTTTGAGTGCTTCTCTACTCAACCAGGATCCCAGGATCTAACACACCAGCAATGCTCAGATCACATCTCAGACCTTAGTCACCTGGAGAGTTGATAAAACAAGCTCCTGGGCTCCCTCTTGAAATTTCCTTTGCTTTGCCTGAAGGAGGGATAGGGAATCATGTTTTTTGCAAGCTCCCAGACAGTGATTATGGGACAAGCACACTTCAGCAGCACTGCTCCAAATACCCTGGAAACTTTCCCTTGACATAGGCCAAGTTCTAGAAGATCGTAGGGAAAGGCATTAAACCATACAGAATGAGTTTTCTGTAAATTCACACTTTCATCTCAGGCCTTGTGCATCTCTCAAGGCTGATGTCCTCATTACAGTCACCTGCAGTTTCAGACTAACTCTCCAATCCTGTCCCAATTCAACTACACTATTTGCTTCCTGCTTCAGTGAGATCAAAACATTTCACTTTTTTCCCTCTCAACTTGAATCCTCACTGACTTGCCATCTCTAAAATATCAGAAGATTTCTTGGCTTTTTCAAAACTAACAGGAAAACATGGGGGGACAGATTTGTGAGGGAGGAGATGCCATAGATAGCTTTTGTGCCACCATTATTCTCTAGGAAAGTTACTCAAATGTCCTGAGGGTTATTAATAATTAAAAACAAACTATTATTTCTTAATTCAGCAAGAAAATATTATACTCAGAATTTGCAATGCTTATAGTCACACATATTACATAACAACGTAAATAGAGTGTTGTGTGATAAAAGAGACAGGAGAGACTACCAGGGCCAGGAGGCTTTAATTAGGTGCACCTTGAGTCAGTTGGACTCCTGTTCAAAAAGACTGAGCACAGCACAAAGAAATTTTCCAGCTTATATACATTTTTTGGAGGGGTGGGTATGGAAAGGAACAAAGACAGTTTTTTTTACTCAGTGACAGTTTTACAGTTTAGCCTTGAGAGCCAAGTATCAGGAGTTTCAAAATGTCTACAACTTTGTGTATAGGAACACAGTTGCCAACCATATCTGTGTCTTTTGAGGGCACACTGGTCCTTAACGGTTATAAGATTCCATTTACAGAAATATAACTGTTTGCCCTGTCAGTACTGGGAGGTCAGCCTTGAAGGAAGGCAGATTCCTGAGAAGTCAAGTCATCACAGGACTCTGTCAGCAAAAATCTTGCTGTTTATTTTATCTGTGGCAGAGCAGAGGCCAGCAGTGGGGGGTGGGGGTGGGGTTGCTGCTGCCGCAAGAAACTGCTTGTATTGAGGAAAACTAACTTCTTTTAAGCTCTGTTTTAATAGTAACATTATCATAAAAAGCAGGTAATAATTACAATAAGTTAAAGAATAGCATATACATTTATTTAAATTCATTTAAATTTACAAAAATAACTCCAACTGTTTAATGTTACAGGTTGAGTATTCCTCATCCAAAAAGCTTGAGATCAGAAGTGTTCCAGATTTCACAGGTTTTCAGATATTAGAATATTTACACAGACTGTAAGAAAGGAGCATCACTAATTATAAAATCCAAAATGCTCCAAAGCACTGAAACACTCCAAAATCCAAAACTTTTTCTTAGATTTTGGATTAGGGATGCTCAATCTATTCTAATATTTCTTCAACCCATTCGCTAATTGTTACAGAACCATATGCATTATTGTGTCAGCCACTAAGTTCTTATATTTTTAATTTTGTGTAATTTCTATCATAAAACTTTTTGCTTTTTTGGATATTTAAAACAGTGTAATAATACATCAATTTAGGATCTGAGTCTAAACTGCCAAAAACTCTTAAGAAAAGCTCAATGCAACACTACCTCCAAAACAAAAGCATCTTTTTTTCCATGGGAAAGATCCAATTCTATAACTTCATCAGAGCTTTCTGACTGAGATCTCAGAAGTCTTGAACGTTGTCTGGGTTCTGGGATGGGTGATCCTATAACCTCTTCAGATATCTCCTAAAAGAAACACATATGCTTTATATCATACAAGGATTTTCTTTTTTAGTTTAGTTATAAACTTTTATATTAACTGACAGCTTCCAATGGATTAAAAATGAAAGCCTATAAAATATATTCAATGAACTTTATATTTAAGTATAACATTTATGACTATAGAGAATATAGATATTTCCTTTTATTCATAATTAGTGCCTTACTGATGTACTAATCTAGAAAAACAGCTGTCACAGATAAAAGGCAAAACTGACACCTAACAGAGAAGACAGTACAATGAGCTCAGAAACTGATCACTCCTAGCTATGTGTATTTTCTGCTTAGCATTTTAAAGTCCTAATTAGCCATAAAGATTTAAAGATTTATTTCTCAAGATAGCATACTAATCTTTTATATCCTTTCACAGTGATAATTTTTCAAAGCAGCTCCACATAGTAAAAAGTAAAGTATGAAAAAAAAAAAGTGAAGTATCATAAATGTAGTGAATATGTGAACCAATACATATACATACACACATATACCATGCATGGATAAGCAGTGCACATTAAGCTACATAAATTTTAATATCTATAATAACGATCTTTTTACAGTCAGTGTATGGTGTAATCCTATATGGATTAGTGAGCTTTATCGTGTTACACAGCCAATCATCTGAACTAAATAAAGGTTCTAAATCTCTGTTGGCCACAAACATTACCAGAAGAATGTGTGTAAGTGACCACAAGTGCAAAAGGGATAGCCTATCACTGGTGTACCAGAGCTTCCTTTTTCAAAAACAAGGACATTGGGCTGGGGATGTAGCTCAGCGGAACAGCACCTGCCTGGCAAATGCAAGGCCCTGAGTTCAATTCGCAGTACCAAAAACAAAAAAACCCACAAGGATATTATAAGAGTCTTTCAAAAATAAGAATTTTTAATATTCACTGCTAGTGTATACCCTGGATTAAAGTCTACTACTGCAGTTCTATAACAACAATCTATGGAGTATTTTCATATCCAGTTACCGTATTTGCACTATTATTCTACTACTATTATTCTGTCCTATAAATTTAACATGATGTGCATTATCATGGCCACAATGAAAAACAAGAGTTACAACTCAGTAGTAAAGCAACTTGCTCATGTTTGGAAACTAGGTAAATGAGGAACCTGTCTAAGGTAGTTAGTTCTATTGTCTCTCAGTGCAGTGTTCTCACTAGGTACCACATTTTATGGTTTCCAATGGTATAGAACTCTGTTATGCCTCTGTTCATTGCATCATTGGCAATAAATATGTGTCTTGTATTTAAGAAATTTTAGATTCATAATGAACACTTTTATGTGTGTGCAGATGACTGAAGTATCTCTCTCTCTCTCACACACACACACACACACACACACAGACAGACACCCAGATAGTACAAATAAGTTACCAAAAACAGTGAGAGAAGGGTGGCAGAAGTACCAAAAATGAACAGAAGAGTTGAAATTTTTTAAAATGATGGTCAGAGTAGGGCTTCCCCAAAAGGTGGCATTTGAGCGAAGACATTAAAGTAAAAGAACAAATAAGAACAGTCAATCTAAACAATTAAAATTAAAAAATAAAACACAAGACTTTTGTTCAATATAAGCTAACCTAACAAAATACTAATATCTGAACAAAACCAGTATATTCACAGTATTGATTTATTTTACTTACTGGAGGATTGATTTCATATAACTCTTTGTTCTTAGCAATTGTGTCATTTATCTTCTTCTGCATATGAGAGATATGCTGTTCATAGGAGCCATCATTAGGAGTCTTCCCCGCAATCTGAATACCACCAGGTGTTGGTAAAGCTGCTAAATACACACCTGTGGCAGACTTGGGAAAAGAATGGGGAAATAATTACACAAACTGTCTGAAAAGTATTGGTCTTTAAGTTTTCATGTTTAGGAACATGATCTTTGCCCTGTGGGAAATATAATAAAGAATCAGTGTTTGCACAGCCATCTCTAGCAGGGCATACAAAAACATAACTGGCTTTTACTGGGGAGAACACTGGGCAGGGAGGGGACAATTGTTAAAAAGGGAATTAACTTTTCAGTGGAAAGCCAACTTTACTTTTAAAGTTTTTAACCTTTTCATTATAAAAAAATAAATTGCAAGAAAAAATAGCTTAGCAAAAAAATACAAAGTCAAACTTAATAATAGTGGCAAAAATAAAATGAAAACTTTTGGAAGTAAAAAAAAACCCCAAAAATCTGAAGTCCAAAAAAGCTATTGAACTTATTCAAGACCACAGTCAATAAATGCAAAGAGATCTGAATCTAAATGTTTCTTCCTACAAAACCCAAGAAGTTTTCACTGTACTACTCTACCTCCATAATTACCATGAAAAGTATTTTTAGTTGATACAGATTTATTTAAAATATTTAATTAAATAACTATTAATTTCTGATGGTTTAACAGTTACTACATACTATTATTACTGGAAAACTACCATGGGAAGTACAAAATAAAATTTACATGTGCATTTTAGGGTTATTCTAATACAATCAAAGCAAAAAATAAACTATCAATATCAAATTGTTAACATCAAAGGAGTAAAATGGGATACATGCATATTTTGAATTTGATAATTATTATTTTAAAAAAATTAATCCAATGCCAATTTTGTCAAAGGCTATCCTAAAAGGATATGTACTCTGGTGAAGTCTGCCCAGTAGATACAACTGATCCTCTTGGTTTGCTCACCGGTTCATCACGACATTTGTTCACCCCCAAGGACCCTTGCTGTGCCACATGAACCTCCGCACACCATCTTTATGCCCTCTTAGCCCCATTCATTAAGGAGGCAACAGCCTTGAGAGGTTAAGAACACAGGCTGTACATGGTACTGGCAAAGAAACAGACTTGAGGACCAGTGGAACAGATCAGAAGATGCAGAAACAATGCCAGACACACTCAGCCATCTCATCTT